CGGGTATCACATCCCATATGCCTGCGTATGAGAACTTTTGTAACCGCCATATGCTCGGCCACTTCTTTGCACTACACATCTTTCGGACTTCTGCGCTTTTCATTTTACCATATTTTCTCTATTATTAAATAACACTGCGCCAAGTCCCCGAACGCAGCGCCTTGCTTCACGGCGTTCCTTCCGGATTGCGCAAAGAGATATTGTGTCTCAGTCAGAGCATGCTCGTCCAATTCATCCAACATCTAGGTTTTTGCCCACCTTTTAGGTGGGCAATCCAACCGCCGCCGTGGTATACAGGTGAGCCCACGGGCCCACAGTTATTGAATTTTAAAATTTAAGTTGTTGCCAATGACTCTCGCAGTATAATAAGAAAAGTGTGCCATCATGCATATCATTACATACAATTAACCTGTCGATTGCGTGGTGAATATTTCCATTGCCTGTTCAGGCTGAAATACCCCAACCAAGATGACGAGATCATCCGAGTGTTTCGTGACATCCTGAAAAGTGAAATCCAATTTTATAACAGCGCTATCCTCTTTGAACGCGCCATACCGCTGCTCAACCCGCCAGACAAAATTTACGGCGTCAACAAGTGGCCAGTTTACATGCTACGTTACGTTAAGACTTTTTGGTAAACGTGGTCGGTTCGGACATGGTAACGGTACGTTACCGGTAAATTGGACGAAAAGTCTAAAGTGAGGGGGGGGGATTTCGTCAAACGTTGACCCCTCGTACCGTTACCTGAATTGCGTCGACAATTTCGCGAGTTATAACAAACGGCCAAGCCCAATCGCTTACAAAGACCACATACTTGACAAATTGTGCGCGCTTTGCACTCCGACCGAATTTCTAGTCACACCGCTGCCTTATAGCCAGTTCACATGCTACGTTACGTTGAAACTTTTTGGAAAAAGTGGTCGGTTCGGACGTGGTAACGGTACGTTACCGGTAAAGTGGACGAAAAGTCTAAAGTGACCAGGGGGGGGGGGTCAATTTCGTCAAACGCTGACCCCTCGTACCGTTACTTGAAATGCGTCGCCAATTTCGCGAGTTATAACAAACGGCCAAGCCCAATCGCTTATAAAGACCACATACTTGACAAATTGTGCGCGCTTTGCACTCCGACTGAATTTCTAGTCACACCGCTGCCTTACATTATAAAAATGAACAAGGACAACGCCGCTCGTGTTGCTCGCCCGCGCACGACCCCTTACATAGCCAATATGTAACCCATTGTAGTATCAGGGCTGAAGCCATCCGCGAAATGGCAAGTCGGCCGCACTTCCGGCGGCATGGGCCGCGCCGCGTCGGCCCACACGCGCAAGCACTGCCATTGAGAATTGAACATATCCTCAAGGTTGTCAAAAATTTCATCCATAGCGGCCGCTAGGGCAAACGCCATCGCGGCTCGCGCGGGATGCAGTGCCATTGCAGTAGGCAGGGCTGCCAATAACCCGTCAATTATATATTGCGATTCTAAGGGGATGTGCTGAAGTTTTGGCCATTGAAAGACATAAAATGGAGATGGTTTACACAGCTCGCGCCAACGAACACAACGTCGTCGTAATGTCCCATGTGAACTGGGTGACTTTTTCAGGCCCACTTTTCCAAAAAAGTTTTCGCAACGTAACGTAGCATGTGAATCCAGTATTATATCCTAAAAATGAACAAGGACAACACCGCTCGTATTGCTCGCCCGCTAGGAGCCGCTAATTTGGCAAATAGGCAACCAAACGTAGTATCAGGGCTGAAGCCGCTCGGGAAACAGCAAGTCGGCAGCGGCATGGGCAGCGCCGCATCGGCCCGCACGCCCCAGCATCAAGCAACACGAATTTAATCCAATCCATATGGGAATATGCTGAAGTTTTGGCCTTTGAAAGCCATAAAATGGAGATGATTTACACAGCTCGCGCCAACGAACACAACGTCGTCGTAACGCCCCATGTAAACTGGGTGACTTTCTCAGGCCCACTTTTACCTAAACGTTTTCGCAACATAACGTAGCATGTAAACCCAGTATAAACGCAAACTTAAAGGCGCAATTCTTTGTCCATACGTTCTTTGCTAGGCACAGGTCCAACTTTGAATGAGAGCAGGACACTTTGTGAAATTCACTGCTGGTCATTGCATTATACTCGGTTGATATAAGAGTGTTTCACGAAAGTATGGGGACTAGCGAAAGGTAACCGCTCCGATGGCAGCGGGTACGATTGCGGCAACAGATAGAGGAGCATGTTAGGTTTTCTAGCTAGTTGTTGAGTAGTTAGATCGACTCTCGAACGCGCGTCTTGATCAGAGATGTTGTACGACATTTACACGCCATCTAGGCTCTGGATAACTATTTAAGTCGTTGTTGTTGTTTAGGTTGTTAAGTCATCTTTATTGCATCCTGTGGTATGCTAGAAGGCTCAAGCCACTCAACCCTCGGTGTAACGATTTTGACATCCCAACTAGAAACGGAGCTCTTTCTATTTCAGTTGGTATCGACTTAGGCGATCCTGCCTACACGCTTCCTTGCTGGTTTTCTTCGTCGTCGTCTCGTCTTTTTCCGCCTCGCCCTCATCCTCCGCTCATCCTCGTCATCATGGCGGTCACAAACCCACGTGCGAGGAAGAAGAGCGTGGATGGTCAAGCATTAAAGCCTAAGCAGGTACCCAACGGCTACACAGAAGGCAGAAGTGTGGCGCCTATCGTGCCGCTCTCGCTTAGTTCAGGGCCCCCGGTGCTCATCCTTTCTCGGGTCGAGCCGCCCACAGTGTAACACCCCATCAGAAGCAGCGGCAGCTGGACAGAGCTTCCTGCCTCACGAGCACACAAAGCAAATCGCCTTGAAGTGGCGGCAGCTGTCACAGGCTGAGAGAGACTACTGGAATGCATAGAGCAAGCAACTCAGGCAGCACCAAACCTAGCACTCACTGTTTGAATCCCTGGCAGGCGTGCGACTTCCGCTGCGTGTAATCTGATGAAGGGCCGGGGCCACTGTGTGAATCCCTGGCAGGCGTGTGCACCCGAGTGCT